ATTTCTACTTACGTTGTAACGGTGCTTGTTGTACAGCTAAGTCAGCTAGATGTGGGCCCAAGGGGCACCGGGGTGACGGTGGAACTCGCGACTCTCTTTTTCCGCGCGTCGTTTGCCTTGGAGCGAGCCTACGATCCAAGGACGATCTTCGAGGGGGAACGTGATTGACGTGAGAGATAATTTATACAAATCTTCACGGCGTTCGAAACCGGCACATCCGGATCACTCGTGTCGGATACGCTTTTGCTGACACACGCGTAAGAACATCTCGACTACGAATCATTTCGCCTGATCTGACATCTCTCGAAAGTAATTGCGAAAGTAATCTCTCGAAGGATTTGTTTCTCTTAAATCGGGATAAATCTCTCTTTCAATACCTTTAACATTTTAATCTTTGAGTATATACTTCATTTTAACAATTTTATATTCGTGGTGCATGCGTGGGGACAGGAACGTTGGTCGGATGCTCGCGAGGATTCGAAGCGCTGATACCGATACCCGCGGCACGGCGAGACGCAACTCACTCATCGGTCTCTGACAAAAGCGAGATAAAAATCAATAGAGCACAGGCAGCCTCTTTCTGGAAATATTCCAGCTGACGCTATTATTCGGCACGAAGCCGATTTCCTGCGGACGGGGAGGGCCGAACAATGAGGTACGGCAAAACGGAAATGTGTCGTCGCGATTATCACTTCCGATCAATTTTTCTTTTTCAATTTCATCTAGACGCGAATCGCACGACTTTTGTCTGATAATATCGCTGTTGGCAGAGAGAAATTTTTTATCTACAGAAAAGTGAATTTTTGTTGCAACCGAGACGGGAAAGTGTTTTAAGCTCCACATTAATCCTTGCAAGATCAATTGTTCACAGCGGAGTCCGCTTAAGGAGTCCGATAAAAAATCTGATAAAAGAGAAGTCAATATGATCGAAAGATCGCGCTTCTCCTTAGCAAATATCAGATATCTTATCCGACATTCCTTGACAAATGTTTTCCCAGCGAATATTCTCTCAACAAATATTTCTTGCAAAAAATTCAGAATAATTAGATTTCACATTCCGCTTGAGGAGCTAGCTGGAAGTTCTATTCGCTGGAAACCTCATTTCCACGAAATTCGATATCTCGAAGGTTTTCTCCCGGTAACAACGATATATAAATGACATCGCAGACGTCATCGTTTTTACGACGAAGAAACCGACGGGAACTGATCCGCGAATTTAATTCTCTCGTATCGAGCTCGCGGGCTTTACCCGCGCGTGGATTCACGGTGCGGTGGTTCGGTGTGCGCAAACACACGGCGGGAGAGAGAGAAGATATTGCGACACGGGTTAGAATTTCTTTTTTTTTCTTTTTTCCCCTACGAACGCGATCGACTGTGCGACGCGGCATTCGGAGTCGCGGTCGTACGTGCGCGCGTATCGGACCGTATAGATCGAATTGCGGACCCCATTACCACCTTACCGTGCACGTACGTGTAGGTGTGTGCATGTATATAACACGCACATAGTGCAGATAACGGATGCGGACGAATGCGAATACGGACGCGGCGGCGGAATCGCAGTCTGTCTATCGCTCGAGGGCCAACAGCAATTTCACACGGCATTGCGCTCATCCTCGTCGGCTGTTAGGCACGAATGCGGCGCGCGATGCATCATGCCGGTGCACATTGTGTGACAAGTGAGGAGGAAGCAATTTCTATTTCGTTAGACAGGCCCTTAATCGAAAATTTTTATGCTCGCGTTTTAATTTTCTCCGTTACAATGATTTGAGAGGCCGGCGGCGTCCGACGCGATAAATCTTTATTCTGTGCAATGTGCGTTATTCGACGACGCTGAAACACGCGTGTGAAAAGTGTTCCGATAAAAAATAACAACAGCGCCTCAGATAAGATATCTGATATTTATGGAACAGAATCCCGATTCGATTGTATCAATTATTTTTATCGGGTTTTATCGGATTTTTGCAACCAGATGAACGTATCTCGAGAAACAAGAGCGCGAAGAAATTCCCCTTCCACGGTTTTTTTTTCGAAGATATTTTAATGCAGATTCTTCAATATTAAAACGGAAGCGCCGTAGGAGGATATCCAGTAAAGCTCGGAAGGAATTACGCTCACGCTCGCTTTGATCACATCCGGTATATCTACGTACGATGTATAGCCGCCCCATCTCTCCCGCGGGATAATGTCACGGTAAACGCGAAGCGACGCGGCGATTCGTGTTCATAAAACCCCCCTGCGACGGTGACCCACATAACAGTATATAGCCAGTATATCGCGATGTGTCCTGAATGATATATCTCGGGATCGAGACGGTAGACCGATGCCGCAGCGATACTTTTACGACGCGGCGACGAATCTCGCGTATATTCGCCGTCCCGAACACGCGCGTCTACGAATTTATGGCTCCTCGAATTTTCGGACGTCCTTTCGCGTTTCTCGAAGTCTCGTTTACCGCGCACAACCGGAATTTTCGCGCTTTCGAATCCTCAGTATTTTCGAGAGATCGTCAAATTTCCGAGAAAGTCTCCGAATTTTCGCATTCTCACCCCTTTCGAATACTCGCCGCTTTATCGCGCTGACGTGGATGGCGTCAGATTGACTGATCTGTAGGAACTGTAATTACCGCAATTAAACGTCGGCGTTGTAGTAGTTTCGCCGATAGTTTCGAGTTGTAGTCTGGTGAGTCTCGCGTCTGCTCGCCTACTCTTACCTCGGCGTATCTCGTTTGTAGTTTGTCGTCGTCGGATCGTCGTCCGGCTCGCTCGAGTCTCACGATTCCTAGCCGCGCGCGGAAAGTCGCGATGCGATTCCACCGGGCCTCGGGGCGCCCTGTAGTTTCCCCGACCGAGCGGTAGAGATCTTCTCTCTCGCAGGCCGGGCGTGTTTTGTTTATTCATCGTCGATACCCCGGCGATCGAGCACTCGTCTACTATTGATATGTCTGTTTCTTGCGCGGTGCCGTCGTCATCCCGTTTCGTTCGTTCGTTCGTTCGCTCGCTGCTCTCTGCCGTCTCTGTCCGTTCGCGTTCGCTCGCGCGCGTACGTCTTCTTCGTCTTCTTCAGGGGAAAAACGGGCTGCTGCTGCTCGACGGGGCTAGGACGGCGGCTCGACGGCCGACCACCGATCCGGCGGCGGCGGCCGGGAGCTAAACGATGCCTCTGACGTCGTGCTGAATGTGAGGCAGAGTAGTGAGGCCGGTCAATAACAGGCTCAAGATCAGGAGTATCCGGGTCGCGCCGGAGTCGGCGAGGCTCGTGCCGCTGCAGGTTTCCTTCGAGACCTCCAGTTTCGCTGTAACAAAATCGCAGGGACCCCATGGTGTCTTAATTATTGACGCCCGGTAAACGGTTCCTGCACACGGAACAAAAAAGTTTGCTGTGCCAAGCGAATTTTGCGCTGCCGTAGCAGAATATGTTAGCAAAAAGACTTACTGCGAATACTAATTTTATTTGCTGAAAATAATTTTGCAATAAATCATCAAAATTTGTATTAGCAGTGACGATTTCTTTAGTAGCAAATTTTTTTCCCATGTGCTTTAATTTTAAACTAATTGAATCTCTCGATTCATAAATTAGGCATGTTTTAGCTATATTGCAATGTTACGAATCTTGTGACATTTTAATAAAATGACACAAGCGTCGAAGATAAGAGAGATATCAGAAGAAGAAACACGACAGACAGGACAATACAGATGTAGGATACAGTTCATGAATTCTTGATCATCCCTATTGTTGATGAAATGATGTAATATCAATAAATATTCTGATAATGTTTGAGAACCGAAAGAGAACGTGAATTTTGTACGTTAGATTCGATTAAGTGTTTGCTGAAACAAAGTATGTAAACAAGGTGGATATAAACCAACAAAAGATGAAAGTCTAAGTGACGAGAAATGTTTAAACGTCGAAAGTTCGTATCAAAAATGAAGGAGGGAACTTCCTAAGACCTTTTCCCCTACATATTGAACTTGATCCCCGGTATTTCAGAAAAAAAAGCGGAGAAAATGGTGAAGCGAGAGGAGTCTTAAATGATTTCGATCAGTCTCACTGTTTTCAATCTAAACAAAATTGAGAAATATATCGGGAAAATGATGAAAAAATACTCCTCCACGTAGCACCGCAATGTTACTGCTACGTTACACGGCGAGCTCTCTGAAGACAGCCGATCTTACGATGCAATTTTGCATCGATATTGCACAACGTATCCGCAATACTAAAGTCTATTGTAATGTATAAATACTCATATTCTTTCAGATTCTATTAATAATCCCGTATTACGGGAAGACAAATTTAATAGTTTGACGAAAAATCTTCCGCCGGAAATTTCGCTGGAAACCTCGATAACTCCGCTCTGCGAAAACCCTCTCGTCTTAAACCGATATAGACAAATCCGACAGTGTGCGTCGCAAGATTGACGCACGGCGAGACGCGACGGGGGATGCCGAAGGGGATGCTGGAGCTTCTCGATCGCGCGCGCGTTTGCCTTGGTGCGCCGTGGCGAAACAAAACGAACGCGGAGCTGAGTAAACGGGGGTAGTATACCGGACCAGCAGCACACGACGCTGGCACCGGAGGTGGTGGTGGTAGCGGTGGTGGTGGTGGTGGTGGTGGTAGCCAGGCAAGCAGGCAAGCAGGCAGGCAGGCAGGCAGGCAGGCAGGGCGCGGATCGATGCCGTGGGTAATTCGCGTGCGTCGAAACCGCGTCGAATCTGCGAGCCTGCACGTGCGAGCCTGCACACACCGTGGCTCGCCGAGGCAAATTTCTCAACGCGACACTCGCGAGACCCGCCGGAACCGCTTGAACGCCTTAAGCCGCTTCCGCAGCGTCGGACCGCGAAACCGCTGACCAATTAGCGCGCAAAAATATGCCCCAAAAGCATTCCCCCGCATGCCTGATTCTCTCTCGTTTACACGTCGACGTTAGAGATATGTAATGGATTTTTAAGCTTTTGTATTTGATTGCCTTGATAATACCGGCACTTGTGGCAGGAGTGCGTGTCCTGCTGTTTTAATTTCACGTCATATCTGAATGAAAAATCTGTCTGTGATTTTTATTTGAAAGCGCATGTCTAGTGTGCTTATAATTACGCGAAGCGCATACAATTGTTTTTATAATCAATTAAGTGTGGGGAATATATATTTTTTAAATATTCAATTTATACTTTTACTTCCTTTTTTCGCAGGAAATTAATGATAAATTTTCAAAGACCGAGGATAATATTCAGTTTGCAAATTTACACAGCAAGATTACATTTTGACGTCTTCTGAAAGGGTAAAATTCTGCTCGTCTTTCCATTTCAAGCTCTCGCAGACGAAAGGATCAATACATACAAATAATATATTGTTACACAACATAATTATAAGAATCATATGTTTCCAAGATAAACTACTTTCGTTCTCTTAAATAACAAATTTGATCATCGCATCACCGTTTTTTGCACGAGTATTTTCTTTCCCACCCCCTTGACACCTCACGAGCTTATTTCCAAGTTATACAAAATTTACGAGAGTTCGTTATCGCGACCCTTTCCCGTCCTATCGTCCCTCCGGTCCGACGTCACTCTTCCTGTCACAGTGTGTCGGGGGACCGGTAAAATCCTCCCTAACGAGGACGATATTTTTTGCTTGGGGGAAAAGAGGAGGGGGGGGGGG